GTATTGACATGACTCACCTTTATTAAAACATTGTTCTCGCATATAATTTGCCTTTAAGGCCGACTGTTCAAAAAACTGAGAGTGAGGATTGACGTATCGCTTTTAAGTCCTTTTGAGCACTTTGCCAAGGGGCTAGGGTCTAGACCAGTTGAAGTTTAGCACGCTATAAGTGTACTTTGTGCGGTGTTACAACAGGTACTATTCCTACATATTTGTATAGGTAGGAAGGCGATATGCTAAATTTCTTTGATATTTGATATTTCACCTGATACATAACTGTTGTACAACTTTGTTCAGTTTGAAAAAACATTGGCTCAAATTTATACTCAGTCTGCGGCGGCTATATCATTACTTATCTAATTTGACTAAAAAATACGTCGAAATATAGTATTAGTTATTTATTTACTTTCATATTTAATCAATAATTTATATTCCTATATGTCTATGACGTAGACGCATTTTTTAAATCGCTTCAGCCAAAAAAGTACAAATTAAAGGTCATAAATTAAAGGTCAAACAATGAGGGTGAACAAGATACCGTTAAGATATCGTGTTATTTTACAAGTTGCTTAAATTGTCTAACCGTTGTATCAATACTGCTTAATACTACGAAATACTACTCTTATAAAATAACAGATTACCACGGAGACAACTTTGATGGTTGGTGGTCCACCACGCAATTTTGTGCAACGCACAGCCACTTTGTGGTATCAATTGTACCCAGCGGAATTTCAGACCGATACGTCTTAGGGACCTTCGTGGAGAGAGACTATTAGTCGTTATTACCTAGGCCGCCAATGTAATTGTTACTATTTGATGTTGCAAGTGACCGTGAGCGACGGTGATCACTTACTATCAGGTACTCCAATTGCCCTTTTGCCTCCTATAACATAAGAAAACCGTTTATTAGGAAGAATACATACACAATTTTTTTTATATTTAAGTTACGTTGTTCATATTAAATATTATTAATACTACTATATTAAGAGTTACTGACCTGGGTACCTTCAAGAACAACAACGGCAACGCATTTGCAACCCTCTTGTGTTGCAGGTGTTCATGGGCCTTTCCCCTTTTCTCCTTAAAAAACTCATTCGAAGTCCTAAATCTTTATTGCAGGTGTATCTTCACGTTCAACGATTTTACATTTAGTTAAGTTGTTCGACAATTATCAGAGCAGCGTGGACATCGAAGCAATTAGCTTTGTACTTGCTAGTCTCGTAGCTAATGTTACTTTTGTCGTGGTTTGCGATTTTAAAATCCTTACTTAATATTAAAAAGGCTAAAGTTTGTATGTATGGATGGATATTTTTAACTCTTTCACGCAAATACTACTGAATGGATTTTAATGAAACTTTACAATCTATAGCTTATACATCAGAATAAGACATAGGCTATAATTTATACACATATTTTTACGTATATGTCTGAATGTTACGCTTTCAGCCTATTCTACGCAGAAGCATCGCGGGCAGCATCTAGTAAAATATATGTAGTTTCTTTTGGGTAAGTTCCTTTCGTTAAATAAGCTAGAGTTTAATTGTGTGTCAACCCAGCAGTGAAATCCTTATTTTTATTTACATGTCAAAATTTTACTCGTTTTCGATGTCGCAAAAGGAAAAAATAACGTTTAAAAGTACAGCAATACAAAATTTTCGCATTACTGTTTTTAATGCGATGACTTCATAAGGACTTTAAACAAAATCAACATTGAATATAGAACAGATTTTGTCGCTGGTAGTTGGAAATAATTGTTCGCGGACTAACGCCAGCTCTAAAGAGACGCTAAGAGCAAGCGTTACCTAATTTGCTTATACTTGTTTAACTAGCGTCGCTTATTCAAGCGTTACTCTAACCTTACGCTCAGCTAGCGACGAATCCGCGTACGCAATTACCTCCGGCGTCGCTTAGCCCGTCGCTTCCTGGAACTCGCATCGAGACGTTCGAAAAGCATCTCTAACTGGTGGCAGCAGGGTGCGTTTCACATTGGCAACCCGGCGCGGGAACTTTGCGCGCCCAGCCTTTGTTGTCTAGTGACTAGACGAAGGGCAGGGGCCGCGTTTGTTTCATTTGCCCAGACGCGGCGCGTTTGCTTGTGTGCGTGGCGGTGTGTGCGTACTATCGATCTCCCGCGTTGCACTTCCGGGATAGCGGGGGTTTTGTGCGAGCGTTGATAGTTGATAGTAGTCGCGCGTATCGCTCTAACAAGCGCCTGGAATTTTCCATGAGGTTGTTAAAGTAGAGAGCTTGCTGCTCGAAGTATTCTTCCGAGGGCGCCGTGCTACGATCCGCCACAGTCTACGGACAGCGCGACAAACATGAGATTTGATATCAAGTAGTTTCAATACGTGTACTACGCGTCTTGTCCAATGAGAAGTGTGGATCATCTAATTTATGGGACATACTATAGCATGGTTTCGCATTCTCGGAATCGCTTTATTAAAGCGTCTCAGTGTTTTAATAGTCGAAGGTTATCGGAAGAAGGTTACCATTTATTTAATATATGTTTTTCTACACTATTTTAACATTTTTAATGTAAAATCATAGTCTTACGCAGTCTTTTTTTCTGCAAACGAAAGCTTATAAAAATTGACTTTATTCTAATTCTCTATTTTTCTTCAATAGCGGCAAAAATGGTTTTAAAATGGTGTTCGAATTATTAAATTTGATGGAAAATTATGGAGCTTATGACTTTTTGACAAAAAACACCGAGAAATAATATCTAGAGACTGAATTAATTATTGTTCCATGGAAAATTAACTAGATTCTCGTTTCGGTTATGTTAAAGCGATACTCTACTAGATGATAATTATACGCAATTAAACATCGGTGCTACGCCGTCCGCAGTGTCGTAGCAGGGATCGTAGCAATTACCTGAAACCAACTTGATAATTCAAGTTGATGACCATAATTTATGTGTTGCAAAAAAGGTTTTAATTTCTTTTGAGTTCTTGGCCGAATATGACGCTAACTTCTAGCTTAGAGGGACTCGCGTAAAATATTTAATAGAATCTTTAAAGATTTTCGACCGACCTCGAAAAAGGATTTTCTGTCTGTGTATAATCTGTCATTTATGGACCGATTTAATTTTTTTTTGCGTTTTGTTCGGTTTAGCTCCTGTGTGTGGTCCTATATTTACTTTTTTGGTATTGAACCTTGGATTCCAGAGTTACACCAAGGAATTCCTCAAAGTCAAATAGGAAATGTATAGTGAGAAAGATGTTTGATAGTAGGTGGTGTTTTGGTCAAGAAACATTTTTTTGGTTCGTTGTAGAGCTTGTTTTATTTTATATCAAACCACATGGCTGATTCATTTATAATTTAAAAATACTCTTGACTTTTAAACAACATCTAATCTCATATGGTTTAAATAAAGCAGATAGACTATTTATGAAAACTTTTCATGACTTCATGACTCAATTTGTACGACACAGTGTCACTTGTTGTTTGCGTACTTTTAAACTTATCACAGTCACTGAAATATGTATGTGAATCTTAATATGATTATGTTATTTTGTGAGTGAGCCGGCTCTCCTTTAATTCAATATACTCGAGCAACCTGAGTTCGATCCCCGGTGCCGGCACCAATGAAGTTTTTAACTTTAAGTGCTGACTTATCACGTGCTCCGCGGTGAAGGAAAACATCGTGAGGAAACCTGCATATTTTCGAAATAATAACAAAAAAATATATATATTTCGAAGATATGTGAAGTTTTCCAATCCGCAGTGGGGCCGCGTGGTGGACTATGCCCTGATACCCTCTGTATAGGAAGGTTTTGCCCAGCAGTGGGACATGTATAGGCTGTTACTTTACTTTTACTTTTTATTTTATGAGTGAGCAACACAGATTAGTATGAAAGTAGTTGAGTATGAGTGGTTTTATCCTGCAAATTCAGGAGCCTCTCTAACCAGTTCTATAAAAATTTGCTATTACTTCTACGATTTTTTTCGTTTGTCTATTCCTTTGAACTAGTGCGGCCGACTATTTTATACTCTTTGTTAATGTTTTATTAGAAAAGTAGACAATCTGAGACAAGAGATATTTTATCGTCTTTAATTTGAAGAAATATAAAGATCCTATATATTTCTATTACACAAAGAACTCGCGGAGACAATATGTCGAACGATAACACAGACGGAGCCGTTATTTAGCGAGTTTTGGCGCCAATTCAATTACTTCGAAGTTTTATGCGGGTGACCCTTAAGCTGAATAAATAGTTGAAATAAAAAAAAATCTTTCAAATCTTCCCCGAACGTTGCTTAACTAAGAAAAACGTCATTATAAATAGAGAAAAGAAGACATAAATTGAAAATTAAACGTAATGTAAAATTTTCATAACTTAATTCATTTTATTGTCATTATTAACCGGATTATTATCAGAAAATGTAATAGAGAAATTGTTCGTATTATTTTTGAACTGTAACTGCAATTAAAAAAGTATTAGCAACGTTTCACGAAATGAACATTATTTTGTGTTAGCTGTGTTCATATATTGGTATAAGTATTTAAAAGGCATACCTTACCCCGTCCTGTAATTAGATTTATTTATTATAAGATTTATTATTAGCAAAAACTATTTCTCGTATCTAGAAACAAAATCAAAAAGTTGAAATTTTATTGATAATTCTATCAATCTATCAAATGTATTTAACATGATTACAAACTAGGGTATTGAGTTTCAGAGGTAAGTAGGGGCGGCAAAAATTGAACAGCCTATTGGCGGCAAATGTGTAAATCCACCACTGCTCTAAGACAAAATATTTACAAAACGGTCCCTTAAGTTGTTGTTATGTTCATACATATGTCAGGAACGAACGTCAACATGTTTTGAACGTCAAAAGACCGCTTCATAAGCGAAAAAGTCAACAAAAGAACCGGACATATTGAACACATACGAGTATTTGTTTTTTCGAAAGATAGACAATCGCTAGCATAGAGGGCGCGCGGGTTCAGAGCACATTGATCGCAACAAATGCACTGTAGCGTATTCCGTAAATTAGCGGGTGCAGCCGCGGTATATGTAGCGTTGTGTTGTACGGGTATGTCGCACGCAGCCGGCATTCGACGCCCCCTCGGCCGGCGTCGCGACGCATCGATCGACACCTGTGGCGGCTTCCCGCCTGCGAGAGGAAGCGTACGCGGATTGCAAATCTCTAAAACCCTCTGCGGCGTCATTCCGCGTCTCGTCTGGATCCACGACGCGCTCGCAGACGTCTAACGTTTCGCCGTCCATAGATCTGTCTGATACAGATACTAAACGTTACTATGTGAAATTCTGTGCACAAAATTCGGTCCGTCTTATCGGGAAGGTGGTGTATTCAAAATTGTGGGAATTCGTATTTTAATTAAACGCGAGAAAATACGTAAAAGTAATCACAGTTTCAGAATCAAGTAATCAGATGTAGTATCCGATAGCAATTTTGGTTACAGCACCTTACAAAGAATTTGAGTCCCGCAGCGCCGAAAGATTTTGTTCATTTATCTACAAAAATTTACAATGAAAAACAATATTTTTTTACTTCGGTAATGGCTAAAAATTTATTCGACTATTTATTGGCCTCATATCTTAGCAGCTGACTGGCCTTTGTTGGGATGATGTTTGGGATTTTGAAATTCGAAAAGAGAACAAGACTCACAAATAAGAATTTTAATGTCGAAAATTACCTGCTAGTAAAATTGAGATTCGGACAGAGTTAATAGGCAAAATAAAACCTCGTCACAAGGAATTTCTCGTGACTGCGCCTAGTGTGGGGGTTAGTATTGTATCAATTGTAAACCTATATATATATTAATAAATAATGTTTTCATTTATTATGTTTTTTTCATTTACTAACCCTCACAAAAGCTGGTAACGACTGCAACTATACCGATGTTGGACGTGGTCGAAAATCTCATTTGCCAACCTAATTTTTAGACGAAAGAAATAATGATTCCGTCGGACAGAAGTGTATCGCACTATTTACCTTCCAGTTTCTGGATTTATGCATTTCATTCCATTACCGACGCTTCTACCGCCATTGCAGTCGGGGGAAATTTCTCAGACGCATAAATCGCTCCTTGAAACGCTCTCGGCGTCTCCGTAATGAATGTCTGAGTTCGTTGTAATTAGTTTAGGGAAATGGCGCTGCGGCCGTGAGCGCGGCGATTGAGATTAAAAACGCAAATGAATAGCGTCTCGCCACGTGTCATCTAACGGGGTAAATCGGAAATCGGCAATGTCGAATGCAAAGTGAAGTATTGATAATAGATCGAGGAAACAAACAATTGACGACTGTACTAAAAATACTTTAAAGTCATAAAAAATTATTACTCCGTCGCGCAGTTGCCAAGGCATTGGCTTCGGCGTCGCGGGTCGTGGGTTCGATCCCCGCACGGGACAATTATTTGTGTGACTCACAGATAGTTTTTTCGTATCTGGATATTACGTGAAATTTAAGCTTGTAAAACGTTTACGTACAACAAAGGATATAGATTATTTAGGTAGCGTATTATATATTTTTATACACATATTTAGGCAATTATTGCTACATGTAACGAGTCTAGGAATGACATCTGGGATAAGTTTGACTGGGACACGTCGCTTTCGAGAATACATATCACTGGCTTAAATAAATAATTACTTAGTTTTAAAAACAAACACGCCTACTTCATCAATGTATAGTTAATTATCTGTTCAAATTAGGCAGAAACTGTTTAATACATTCATTTATTTACGTGTCTTCATGAAGGTAAATGTACAATATGTATTTCTGTTAACCGGGTTGTCTAAATAATGATGTTTGAATTACATCTGCACATAATGTCTCGCTTCTTAGATTAATTGGTGCTAAGCACAAAGTTCGTCGTTTATTCGCCTTAGCGTAAAGATCTTGTAGAATATAGTATAAATAAATCTCACTGTTTAAGAGCCACGTAGCAGGTCCTGCCGTTGCATTAATGGACCGGCTTTGGAATTATTACGGTCTCATCACAGAAAAGCGTAAAGTCGAAGTACTAATTATGCGTTTCGCTACATATGTGTACTAATCGGATGCTTATCCAATGAAACGTTGATAATGATATTTTCGGATCCTGTCGACGGTTGGTGATAATCGTTCAGATGGCACCGTCGTTTATTATAATGAAATTAAGTCTTCGATAGTCTAGTTCTTCTTCAATAGAATCTAAAGGTCTCTACTAATTTACTGTACTAATTCAATTTGATGAAAAACTTATGATTAATGTTATATTTAGTGCTAATTTGCATTGGAGTTGAAATTTAAATGCGAGCTTAATGTGCCAAGCATTGCTTATATCCATAAAGCAGAAAAATTTCGAGATTTTCGCTCCGTAAGGATTTCGACCGCTTAGCTGAGTTCGCTACAGCGTTTGGACGCTTCACTCAGAGATCGCAGGTTTGAATCCCGCAGCACCGAAATTTTTCGACAGTATATTTCAAACTCATATTCTAATTAAATACTTTCAAATCAGAAGACTCCGTGGCGCAGCTGCCAAGGTTTCGTCGGGGGTCGTGAGTTCGATTCTCGCAGCAGACACCTATTTGCGAGATAATTGTTTCGGATCTGGGTGCTTGTCCACGTGAAATTTATGTAATAAAAACGTCCCTACAGCACAGGATAATGTTATCGTACAATAACAGGCAATGTTTGTAACAAAGAGAAAAAAAAAAACATCTCCGACGCTGGTCTAGCCGAACTGCAGTTGCATATAATACGTACGGAGCGGTGCATCGATTACAACGTTGTCGGCTGAATTAATTAGCTGAAATGAACTCCAACCGACGAGGGCTAAAGTGCTTTAAAACGCGATACTGAACGCAGCTTGTAATTTGAACCCGATCTGTAATTTTCTCTAAATTGTTCGTTTATGTTAACGCCACTTATCGGGTTGATAATACATACATAGGTTCTACCCATAGTCAGTTCGTAATGTTAGGTTCGCGTTCAACGCTAATGGGGTAGACAAGGATAGTAAGATGGGCAAGTACTAGCTAATTTGTAAGAAAACTACACGCGACGTGTTAAACACTGCGACGTTGAGAATGCTAGGGTTGTCAGCTCATAACGTCCCCAACGTAAACAAGCGACGGTGATTTAAGCGCATGAGTTTGTTGATAACTGTTTTCAGCTTTTCCGAATTAAAAAAATATGAATAATGTTTTTTTTAGTGCTAATTTGCATTTGAGTTGAAATTTAAATGTGAGCTTAATGCTCGTTTGTTTGTTTCCAGCTTTTCAGAATCAGTAATAACTGTTTTCAACAACTTAATGATTTATAAATTTTAAGACGATATTTAATGACTGTCTATTACTTATCCTTACGCTATTAAGGTAATTTTTTTAATGTGAAATGTTGCCAAACGAGCAGATGGTTCACCTGATGTTAAGTGAATACCGCCGCCCGTGGACATCTGCTACACCCGAGGGTTCCAGATGCGTTGACAACCTTTTGAAAATTGGGCTCCGGCCACCTCAGTCACCAGACGAAATGCGATATTATACTTCTACTTTACGCTGGTCTTCTATGAGGTCGTGGTACTTACACGGACGAGCCTGCCCATTCGTGCAGCTGAGGCTGCTCCGTGGCCCTACCACCGTAACTATCCATAACTTCGAAATTTTAACTCAGTATACGGGACACTCGCTTATAAATTAGTAAACTCGAGCAATTCGAGTTCGAATCTCTCGCATCAATAAAATTGTTACTTTCATTTTTAACACCTGAAGGGTTGCGGATGCGTTGCCACCTTACAATAATGTGAACCCTGGCTACCTCACTCACTAGACGCAAGTTAGAATCACTAGTAATTCCACTTCATGCCGGTCTTCAGTAAGGTCGTGGTACTTACCCGGACGGACCTGTCCACTCGTGCAACAGCTCTTTCCGGATAAGCTCTACGTTGTACATCAGAGAAAGTGGGGTAGTGTTTTGAATAACTTAACGCAACTTGCTTATTGATATTTTATACTTTCATCTACCCCCAAAGTAATATTACTGTTTTTGTCTTCCACAATGCTAAAGAGGTTAAAATGAACTATATGTCGTATCCTTTAACGTATCTCATTTTATGTGAAACTTTGTGTTTTTTATGAGAATAAATTCTAAACCTAATCAGCGTCTAGGAGTTTCTTTCCTATTAAATGACTTTCTGCTATTTCATATAATTATATCACTGAAAAATTATCAATGTTCTCCAACGAGTCCGATTTGAATATGCTAAATACGGGGACCCGAAATTAGAAGCCACCCTGGGGATTACTTAACTTCGTGTATTATTCTAATACAATTCACAACTGAGTAATTATTATACAATTTGCGCTCTAGTTATCGCCAAATGAATATTCATGACACCGATGCCCTAATTGGACGGAAGAGTGGACCGTGGAGACGCCATGAGACGAATAATACGTATTTCAGTAAAACAAGGATAACGAATAACATGAATAAATACGTTTGTCCTTATCTTCATAAAGATAAGGTTCATTTTTACGATACAAAGACGAACTGGTGGCAAACGCAACATTGTCGAAGGATTCGTTGCGCCTGACGACGTCTTTGCAACTCTACACTTGCAGCGCTCAAACTATTAATACACATCCGTGTTTCATATCGCCAGCGTTTTAAAGTTCAAATTTGAACAGCATCATTGCTTTTACACGTCCACCGACGGTAATATGGTCGTATGATTATTATCGATTGTGCAATGATAATGAATGTGCGATCGGGAATAGGTTGTTAATAGGGATCTTTGTCTAAACGATTGTTCTTGGCATACATAAAAGGTGTATGTTAAAGCTTGGTCCCTCGCGACTACTATCTCGGGATTATAAATTACTGGTTTGAAAGCAAATGAGTGTAATTGGATAAATATTTATATCTAATTCCTATTTTTATGTAACACGATACGCATCCTATTACGTACAGGATTTAGGCAGCAGTTAAAACGGATTGTACAACTAATTATTTTCAACACCACCTTGATAAATCAATACATAAGGAACTTATGTATTGAGCTATCTAGGCTATTTAAATAATTGCGGAATTTTCTGTCTGTTCATTCTAGTCTGTCTATTCGCAGGCCTGTGCTATGCTAGGATGATAAAATGACGTCATAATACAATTTAAATTATGATTATTGAACACCGTCGACAAAATGCTGATATTGTCACCTTTACTGAATTACTATGTTTCTCCTGTGTTTTCAATAAAGCTATATCTCCGTCTACGATGGCAG